GAACACAAACTCAAGATCTTAGATTTGGGCAACACTGAAAGGCAGGAATTAGTTTTTTTCCTTGTGTGTCTCTTCTTTAAGGTGCCTACATAATGTTGATAATAAACCAAAATACAAGCAATTGATATTGTTTTTCTCTAATAAATTCTACTGTGATCTAAAACTGATCATAATATGTGCACAACTTTCTTACAATTTACATTTCTTTGCCCTATCATTTCTTCAAGTGATTCTTGCATGTGAGCGCTTTATTACACATTTTCAGCTATGCTGACTAGTTGTCCTGGAGTATATGGGTTGCTACTTACGCGCTCCTAATTATACTGATATCCTTTGTGGACTTTTAGTGATAATACTCATATCTTCTACATTATTTTCTATTAACATACTGCAATTATTGCTTATATTACACTGTTATAATAAGACTATTCTGCTAATGTATTTCTGATAATATTTTCAGAAATAAATCAGTAGAAACCTAATATATTAGCAGAAACATCCTAAATCAAAGATGTGTACTATCAGTACAAATTTCACAAGAAAATTTTGATTCACTCAGCTCTACTAATTGTAGAGTTAATTCTTATTTTTTTCATTGTATACACCTGTTTATTTCAAAAAATATATATATTTTTAGAAATTCTTATCTGAAAAGGCTTTGCAAAACAATTTAATTAAGCTTAAGAGATCTCTAGGTGTTCTTATACTCACCCTGCTCCTATTTTACAGATCATTTTGAATTCTAACTTGGCTGGTTCTACAGCAAAACTTTGATACATTTTCCCCATAATTAAATGCCATTTTATTGCATAGCTACAGAAATCATCACTTTTCTTTTATCAGTTGCTACCACCATCTCTTTATGACTGAATGAGGAATATTTTGTGAAGTCACTTACTTTTCCATCCCTACTAAATGTGTGCAGTCTATTACGGCACAGTAGCATCTCAGGCTGCCACGCGTTTCCTCCATTTCTAACAGCGCATTTAGTTAGCAGTTTGATTTTCACATCATTAGCAAGATTCTTACTGAGAAGTGGCACTCTTCCATCTACAGTTTAAGCCAAACAACACAACAAAACGCTCCCTTTTTACTGTAATGCCTATTAGTTGCAATGATATCTCTTGATCCATCTTGCATTATTAATTAGCAAATAGATACGCTGTAACACAAAAAGCACCCCCTATTTCCAGGGTGCTGATACTCAAGTTTGGAAGTGAAATGGACACTAATTCCTCCTTGCGTGCCTCCTTGGCGGTGTGACTGCTGCTGGAGAATCCCCCCAAATCTTCAGTATATCATTAGCGCGTGGCCTCCCGACTGCCAGTGCATTCCCTATGGATGCATTATATTGCCTCGGGCGCAGCACCCTGCCTCTGTTTTACTATGTGGCATCATTTGCAGTGTTTGAGGTCTTACATTCTTAACTGACAATAAGTTCAGATATAGAAYAGTCTGGATTTAAAGCCATCAGAGGGTTGCAATTATGTGTGGTCTGGTTGTTCCCTTGACAAGTGAACAAAAGTCCAAACACGAATCTTATATATTCAATCTCCATYTAGACAAATATTTGTTGACTTCTTTTTCCTCACAAAAATGTGAGAAAGTGTGCTCTGTAAGTAATTTATCAGCTATGTTCAATAAAAATGGAATGACGTGTTTTTTTGTACTGGGATGGTACTTTGTAGCTGGTGTTATAATGCACTGGAAGTTTGCTACTTGGCAGAGCCATATGTGAATACATGAGCAATGCTTCCATGAGCTATAAATAGCATCCCTTAATCCTCGCATTGATCTTCGTGTGCTTGCTTAAGGTTCACCTATCTATATTTGTATAGATTAATGTCGTATTTGATTTAAAAWAAAATCAGTTATGTCTCAGTATAATATTAAGCCCTAGAACTTGTTATGGTTTAGCAGATAGATATTAAGAATAATTGCTGTCTCCAGGGCCAAAAGTAGACACACAGACCTAATGGCCAGTTAATCTTCTATTTTGAAGCTAACCCTTAATAAACATGCACATTTTTTATGTCCTCAACTCTATGCTTTTGCTGGCATACTTACAAATGCCTTTAGTGCTGACATCAAGACAGAACTGCTGCCACTGAGGAGACCAGAAAGAAGAGAAACATCTCCCCTGATGTTGCTGATTACTGACCCAGCAGTGGTCTGATCAAAAAGCTGACAAAGCTGCCAGGTGTGGGCATAAAGCTGATACCTTTGACCTGAGAAAGTGTTAGCCTACCTGTTTAAAAATGATCATTTAGACAGAAATGCCTTTTGTTTCTGACATACGAATGTTCTAGCATGGTGCAGGATCATTTTACAACTTCAAGGAAAATATATAGYTGAATATGTGAGAGGAAGCTGAAAGATTACACTTATTCTGGTGACAGCAGCTTATAGACATTTCATGCAACAGTTCACTTAGTAATTATGTAGTTAAATACACTCTATACCTACCTTAATCTTTATACTGCTGTTCTGGTACATGTGTAGAGAGGATGGTACTACGTACAGTCAAAGTCTAAGTTCTTCCTCCTTGCTCCTGCACAAGAACATTTAAAGATTTCAAGAAATGCTTTTTTCTTTTTTTTTTGTATTATTTTCCATTTTTTTTTCAGACTCTTGCTTTTGAACTTTGGATGCTGTTTTTTATCAGTAGGATAGTTTGTTGTTTGTCTTGAACTGCTTGSTTTTGAAATAAAGCCAAATTTTGATCTATTATAGGACATTACCSAGTAGTTTGGAGTCATGGCATCTGAACAAGTTTTACCCATTGGTATTCTAGAACTGGTGCCCATTATTTAAAAAAAAAAAAAGTCATCATACTGATATTTACCCAGACTCAAAGTCACAGATTTCTTCCTTGCAGAAAAGCTAATGTGCGAGGTCCTGAACCTTTCTGCTTGACGGAGGAGCGATGCTCTTTCTACAACACCACTCTTGGAGGAAAAGGTTTGATGGCTTTGAATCCCAGAAACAAGAATGCTGCATGTGTTATTTTCCCTGAAAGACTTAGAAGAGAGAACATTTTGGCAAGGAGAGGCAAAGCTGGAATTAGGAGGACCAGTAGCTAACAGAAATGAAGATTTATGTAACAGAAAGGGGAGAATCCCGAGATCCACATGTTCATAATGAATGAATTTGGGGGCCTCCTTGGTCAGGACGGGAAAGGAATGGTGGAGCTGGAAGGCTCACTTGTGCTTTTTCACAGGGTGAGGGCAGAAAATGCATGGAAAGCTCACAGACTTTTGTAAAAAACATTTTGGTCTGGACCTGTGGCTCCTTGGACTGCTGCAATGCCATTTCAGGAGTCTGTTCTGCTACTTGATGCACACTTCATAGTCTTCATTTTTTTTTTTTTCTTTTTCTTTCTTCTCTTTTTTTCAACTGGAAATTGATAGAACTCAATGCAATAGATTCAAGCAACGAACCAGCTATTTGTCTACCACTACGTGCCTTAACAAGCGCAGTACAAACCAGTGCCACACTACGCTGGCAGAGTGGTTAGGAAGAAACTCCTATACAGCAATTAGCATTACGGACACAGGAACTGAGAGGTGGATTCTGAGACATAAATCTTAAAAGTGCACTGTGGCAGCTGCCTGCAAATAAGGGGCCTATACATTTGAAAGGCTGAGAAGTAAAACGGCTGTGCATTGAAAGGTAGGCATTTGGAGGTGATAAATTTAGCCCTGACTCATCCGATGGCAATTTTGACACTTGGGTGGACTGAATTACTTCCAGGAGTTGCATCATGTTTTCACCAGATAGTTTGATGGAGCATAGTTTAACCTATTCACATTCAGATGGCCAAATTTTAGACTCTTCTTCCTCATTTTAAATAACTGTACAAGAATTTGTTTCTGTTGGAACACAGATACATCCCGAGTCATCAAATTTCTTTCTTCACAGGCAGTCATATCAGTTAATCCATTTCTTAAACTGATCAAACAACATCTTAAAACTGGACTGCTCTTTTAATTCTTACTGGAAATGGACAGAAAGACCCTTTACTAGTGATACTTGAAAGCCTGTTTCCAAAGATTACTAAAAGTTTCTTCACAGCTTTGTCCTTTGAGGAGTCCTTTCCTCTTCCTCGCGCTAACCCCTCAAGTATTTATGAGGAGCACTTGCGTGCCAGGCTCTCCGGACTCCCCTTGATGGACGAGTGCCCCTTTCCGCAGCCACCCCTGCCGTCCTCCTTCGTGCCATTGCTGGGCGAGCTCGGCAGGACAGACACACGGACAGGGACATCTCTGCAGAACAGCGCTTCCCCAGGGCCATTAGCATTTCCAGGGCTCCACCAGGAGCAGGTTTCGGGACATGCTGCGATTTGTTCCYGTGCAGCACCGGCTGATCAGAGAAATCCTTCCCACTCTCCCAAGCCCTGAGCGTGTGTGTCCCATCATTTCAAGGAAACATTTTCCACTTGCGCGTGCCTCGCACACGGTGACTCACCCYGTCCTTATTTGCCCACAGACCGCTTAGTGTTGATACCCAGGCACAGAAGCAGTGTGCCACGCCAGGAAACACGCTGACGCACGAACCCCAACCGAGTCGTGACTCCTGATTATTTCTCCACGTGTGGACAGAAAGGATGAGTTTACCAATAAAGCCCCTTTTAAGAGGAAAAGCCTCCAGCACCGCCACTGCCCCCGTGCCGGCGGGGCCCCCTCCCGCGGGGCTCCCCTCGGTGACCGCCCCGCTTCTTCCCGCCCAGCGGCGCGGGGCGCCCGCAGCGGACACCGGCTCCGCTGCCCCGCGGGCCCCGGCCTCGCTCCGCGCCGCTCCTTRCAGCGGCGCCAGCCGCTCGTCCCCTCCCGTCCCCTCCGTCCCCCGGCGCGGATTTAACCTCTCCGGCGGCGGGGCGGGCAGGAGGGAGGGAAGGGGCGGCCCGCGCGGGCCATGAGGCGGCGGCAGCTCCGCGTGAGGCGGCGGCACCTCCGGCGAGGGGCGTGAAGCGCCCGGGCCCGGCCCGGCCGCGGCGCCGCCCGGCGCGGACCATGCGCGGCGCGCGCTGAGCGGCGGAGCCGCCGCCGCCTCCCGCCGCGGGCATGAGCGCCTCGGCGGCCACCGGCGTCTTCGTGCTCTCGCTCACCGCCATCCCCGTCACGTACCTCTTCAACTGCCTGGCGGCGGGCGGCAGGTGAGGCGGGCGGGCGGGCGGGCCGCGCAGGGAAGGCGAGGCGGGGCGAGGCGGCTGTGGCGCCGCGGGGAGCCGGGGCCGGAGCGCCCCGAGCCGCCGCCGCTCCCGCCGCTCCCGCGCTGCGGGCGCGCGGCCGCCTCCTCCCGCGGGGGAAACTTGGATTTGATTTTATTTGATCGCCTCGTTCGCTTTGTTTCTCGCCGCCGGGAGCTGCTCGGCCCCTGGCCCGTGTTTACTGCAGACTGCTGGAGCGCGGGCACAGAGCGCGCGGGGCAGCGCTGCGGGTGACCCCCGCRGAGCCGCTCCCGGCGCCGCGGGCGGGAATGTCCCGGAATTCCCGATCCCGATCCCGCGGCGTCCCCGAGCGCCTTAAGCCAAGCCCGGCTGGAGCTGTCAAAGGCGGTGCTGTGTGCGGTGCCTGCCGTGCTCTCCCGAGGCACAGAGCGGTGCTGCRCACAGAATCCCGTCCCAAATATTTTTAGCTTATGGTCTGGAGTTTACCTGATCCCTCCTCCTCTTTTTTTTTTCTCCTTGTACGTACACAAAAAAAGCAAAAACTTGAGACCAGCCGAGACAGCGTTTCAGGCTTAGAGAGAACAGAATGAAATTTAGACAGAGAGGAAAAATAATTTCAAAAAAAATTTTTTTTTTAAACTCACTTTTTTGGCGGGGGAGGGGGAGCGGGGAGGGAAGGAGACAAATCTCCTTTTGTGTCAAGAGTTTTTGTACTTTTTCTCAACAACCCTTTACTCGTGCTCCCGTTACAAATACCATCTTCAGAGAGGTCTGCTCTGCAAAGCACATCATGTTGCTGCCAAAAAGCTGATTATTGGGACACCCGGAGCAATCCCACCCCACAGAGCCAGAGACACCTTTGGGAGCACCTCCAGCCTGTCCAGAAGTGGAATTTTAACCCCCACCCAGTAATGATTGGTGCTCCACGCCACTCRTCCGCGCTCGTATTTGGAAATACGCGATTTCCTGAGTAGATAACTTACTGCTGAGCTTAGACCAAAAGTGTCCAATTATCCTTTTTGGCCTTGAAATCTTTCCATGGATGACTTTCACCTCTCATTGGCCTTTAAGTTTTTCAGCATTTTCATCCCTTTCTGCTGATATCAGTACAAAAACTGATCTTGGGCAAATCTGCATTTCTGGGCATGTTGTTTATCTAGCTATTTTAGTGTTTTCTTTTTTTAGATGACCACATGTGAAAAGACAGGCACATAAAATTCTGCAAAACTGTAAAATGACAGACTATGCATTGAACTTGAAAATCCGCCTTTTTAAATACTAAATGCTACATTAAGACTATAAACATTTAAGCGATCTCTTCTTTTGAGGATAGCTGATAAAAAGATCAAAAAAGCAAAATTCTATCTGTTTTTTTTCTTCTTTCTTTTATTTTTTCTTTATTTTTAATGCTGTTTCAGTTCCTGGACAGTTGTTGCAGCTGGATTATTGGTCCTAGTTTTTATTGCTCTTTTGGCTCGTGTTCTTGTCAAGAGAAAACCACCAAAAGACCCACTCTTTTATGGTATGTATTGGTAACAAGGAAGCTGAATTCAGAATGTATCCAGTAGTATATAGGTAAAATATGACTGTTATTACACATTGCACATTTAAAGCATTAGGGCTTCAATACTTAGTCCTGTGAGATGCTTTAGAAGCCAGAGAGGAAGTAAAGACCAGGGGAGAAGTTAGGGATCTTTTGAGGCTCTCCCTGAGCCAGACCTCCCATGTGGAAAGAACAAAAATAAAATAATGCTGAAGCTGTGAAGATGTTTGACACATGATCATACCTGCTCTATCAAGATCCTCTTTGTAGTACAGCTTAGACAACACTGTAGACCTCTCATGCATATCTCCAAGTGGACTCATTTGGGATTTGGGGATCTTTTGGACCAATGGYGTCTATAGCTTGGTTCCTCCTGATCAAATTCCTTCATTCTCCCATTATCCTTAAGCTTCTGTGTTAACTCACTTTGTGACACATAGAAATCTGATACCTTTCCAGCTATTACTAGACTCTGCCTGCAGACTCAGGCAAAACACTTCTATACTGATATTTTGCCATAAAAGAATAGAGAAGAATATTTTTTGAAATAAAACCTTATATTTTCATTACATTTAGCAACAATTTAGAAAAAATAAACACTGATTCATGGCTGTGCCTTGAACTAGTTTGCCCCTTAGCTGGATATTTTGCAACACAGACCCATAGACAATACTGAATACAAACTAGCTGCATTTGCCCTCTCTCTCCATTAAGATTCCTAGGTGTCTGTCCAGTGGTGTTCTCAGTGATGTGAGAACTCTCAGTTCACACTGAAGTCAAAGGGAACAAATACCATATATCTATCTATATAAATTTCCTGTCTCAAATGAGTGACTCTGCATTGCCAGATAGGTCTCTTGTGGACTTAAATGGCAAATACTTTTTTTTTTTTTTTATTGCTCACTTCCAAAAATGGGAAGYCACCTTCCCCTCTCTTTTTCCTTTTTATTGTCCTTTCTCCTTTCCAAAAGATTGCTACTCTCAGGATTGTACATGTTGTGTGACAAAGATCATTCTGAAGGGCTCCACAGTCCCTTTCAATGGATGCTGATTTTCTACCGAGATGAATGGGGAAATGGGCAGATGTGCAAGGTTTCATCTTCCAAGAACAACTTCCTAAAACACTTGGTGGGCTAAACACTCAATTCTTAACATTTTTTAAYATTTAAAAAGTCTACATGCAGAAATTCATACAGAAATTCTGTGACCTCTGAAGCAGAAACATCTGTGTTGATAGATATTAATCTCTGTTTGGCTGAATGTATCAGCCTGTGAATTAACTGTTTGATTTTAAGTCTTTCCATGTTCAGTAATTTTTTTTTCCTTTATAATTACAGTTTATGCTGTATTTGCCTTTACCAGTGTAGTCAATCTTATAATYGGGCTGGAACAAGATGGAATTATTGATGGATTCATGACCCATTACTTGAGAGAGGTAAACAATTGTTTGGCTTACAGAATTAAATAAAATTACTACTACTTGTTAGAGAAAAGTAGCCACTTGACATGTCCAAAAGATTTGCTTGAATTTGGTTATTAATGTGTTTCATTACAGTTATAGAAAAATAGTTATTTCAATACAGTTATTTTCATTGACTTCCCTTGAAAAAATACCACACCTTTCAAGTTCCAGCATTATGTCATTTCACTGAAGCAATACTTTCAGTGTTAATTTCCATGGCAGCTATCCAGACTGTACACAGGTTTGCAAAATGCCCTGGTGCTCAGCACAGCTCAGCACACGAGTGGATGAGCACTGCAGTACCTATATGCTTTACCAAGGAAGCCAAAAATTAGCCTGTATTTCCACTTAATCATTTTAATTGAAGGAATTAAAGTAGAGTTAAAAAATGATGGTGCTGGATACCTAGTCAGCAGAATCTGTTGGCTGCTGAATATCAACATCCACCAAAAATAGCTCAGTAAGAGCTTGCTATGAAAGTCACTGAAGTCACTGAAAAGATTCCACAAATCTTTCATTGGGGAGGGAAATGGGTTCTGCATTGTCATTAATGCATTCAATCAATACCATTCTATGTTGCTAATTATAGCTTTACTTGTTAAACTTTCGGATCCTAGCTTGTATTACTGGAATATAGAAAAGTAGTACTTCATTAAGGTAGCAGAATATTTGATGGGCATCTTTAGACAAGGAGTTTTCCCTTCTCTCTTGTACCCAATATTATGCGTCTATATAAGCAATTTTATTATTCCTGGTCCTGCCTAAGCATCTCCTAAAATATGTTGCTGACAGKCAAAAAATGTACCCCTAGACTGAACACCAGTTACTTTCCTCAACTTGTTTCCTGCTATTCATCATTACTTGCTCCTTTCTGACACCTTCTTGAATCACTGTATACTTGTAAAAATMATTTTTCTCTAGGGTGAACCATATCTGAACACAGCGTATGGCCACGTGATCTGCTACTGGGATGGCTCTGTTCATTATCTGATGTATCTCTTGATGGTGGCAGCTATTGCTTGGGAGTAAGTCCTTTGGATTTGTGCACCGTTTAATTTGCTTGCCTCATCATACGACCTAGAAAAGGCTTTTTCTGTGTAGTATTTACATTTTTCTTTCCAGATTGTTTTGTACCTTAAAGTAGTGCTATTGAAATTCCATCACTTTCAGGAATTGTACCCACACCAAAGTTATCTTTTCTCTCCACTAACAAAGAGCAACAAATACTCTAGGTTGTGTTCTCTCTGTTTCACTCTGCAGTCTGTAGCCCATCTACATTACACYGTTTAGAAAATGAAAGCCTCAAGAGGATGGACAGTAAAATTGTGATACTGTTGTTCAGATAATATATAAATGATGGGAAAACTGTTTATCTCAGCATTATTACATTTTCTTTTTCATTTGTGTTAGAAACCATTATGCAGTTTAAGAGGCTCTTAAATAATGATTATTTAAGAAAATAATGATTATTCTGGAGGCTCTTATGTTCCCTGATGTTGCAGGAGTTTGAGAAAATAAGTACTTACATACGAAGTCCAGAGGACAGTGTAGCTTTTTGTAAAAGAAGCACTACCAGAAAACATATATATTTGTTCTATAGTCCTGCACAGTAACTGGAYGAGTAAAAATCACACACAGCCCTCAGCTGAGAGAAACACTAAAAATGCAAAAGTCCAGTGCTGCTCATGTGATAATCTCCTCATATTTTAAAACATTTACTTCCCAAGGTACAGTTAGGGCAATCAGTAGAATATCTGAGGCTGATTTTGGGTAGTGGGATTCTAGGGATGGTGCATTAACTTTTTCTTTTCCTCCTCTTTTTTTTTTAACAGACAAAGTTATAGAACCATTGGTCTCTACTGGTTAGGCTCCATTGTCATGAGCATCATTGTCTTTATGCCTGGAAGCATTGTGGGTAAGGACATCATTTATATGATTAACTTTCCCATGTGAAACATTTTAAAAATTCAGCATTAAGGTATCTGTGTTTTACTGCAATGTTAGTTCCTTTCTGTAATAATAGGAAAGATGAATTTTAGGAACCTCAGTGAAACAGATGCCCAGTATTTCAAAACTTAAATTTGAAACTGGATGGAGTCTATCAAAAGAAAAAAAAAAAGATTTCTAATGTTTTTGAGGAAAAAAAAGTATTACCTTTTGCTATACCTATAAAGCTTTCATTCAAGTGAGATTTAACTGGAACAATGAGACAATAATTGTCTCTTATTATCATTAAAAATTATATACAAATGACTAATGTACTTCACTACCTGACATTCAAGCACTATACAAAAGACATTCAAATTACTTTTATAAGTAAGTTGCTCTATATTGAAAACAATTTAATATTCCTAAATTTCTAGAATAAATCAGTGCATATTTATGTTACTAGAGGTTAAGAATTGTAATTTTTTAAAAAAATCTACATCATATATTTATTGGCAGGTCGTCTTTTAAGAGCTTTTATTGCCCAACCAAAAAACTCCCCAAGAACCCAAGGGACTTTTTTTTTTCTTTTTTTTTTCTTTTTTTTTTTTTTTTTTTAAGCAAAGCTAAGTTAATAATTAAGTTAACACAAAGTTGACCAGGATGCAACTGAGATAAATGATTATGGGTCCAAATCCTGTGGTCAGCTTTGAAAAGGCTCAGCGTGACCTGGGCTCTTAGAACAGAGGAGACATATCCATGGTGCAGCCTGGAAGCAGCCCAGCTCCCTCCTTTGCAGGTACACGCTCCCACTGGGAGGGAGCCAGCAGATTCACTGTCATATCTCTGCCTCTGTCCTCTATGGAAAGCCCAAAGACTTATTTTCTAGAGCCTGCCTTTGGTTTTCAATTTTGACTCAGAGGAGCCGGCATAAAAAGTCCCATTTTGCCTGATTTACCCTGGCTGAGGATAGACTTACAAATATGTATTTTGTATCTAAGTATTAGTACAGCCCTGTAGGAAAACCAGGACTTTGGAAATCAAATGTAGTATCAGATTTTTCAAAAATAGATCAGTTCATCAGTTCTTTTTTTTTTTTCCATTTTTCATTAGTGATTCCACTATCTGAAGCATATTTCATTAAGATATTTCAAAACTCTTCCATCCTACAAGGTTATCTAGCATAGTGTGACTGAGGTGGGTTCCTGTCCCCTCAAAAGAAAATCTTATTTCTAAAATATTACTCTAATACCTTCTCTCTCACCTGTGGCTCTACTACTATTAAACATATGATTTTCAGCAAGATTTGCATGTTGGTTTAATAGTCATTCCTAATGTTTTATATTTTTTACTGTAACTGCTTCAGGCTTAATTTTCCATAGTGTATTATTATTATTATTTATTTATTTTAAACTCCACTACAATACAGTTTACAGATTCCTCATATATCTTATGGTTATTTTTAATAGGAAAATATGGAACAAGAGTGTGTCCTGCTTTTTTCTTAAGCCTACCATATATTTGCCTTCCCATATGGGCTGGGTTCCGAATCTATAATCAGCCCTCAGTGACTCATGATACTCCTGTCAAGGTAATATTATTATATATTTACTGTGCTTATTGAGTTCTATAGGACCCTCAGTGAGAAGGGGATATGTTACAACTGCTCAGTGTTATGACAATGACTGCTAAGTTGTGTAGACCCCATAAGACTACCCATATCATAAGAAAATTCATTAAGGCTGGTTAAATAAATCACAAGTTTAAAGTACTCATATTTATAGATATTATTGTCCTGCTCCTCTCTACTCAAATTCAATATATATTTGATTTTAGAGGCAAGACATTAGCACATTAATTGATACAAAGACTATTTAAACACTTTCTACTTATCCAGAAATATGTTTATGTGTAAAATACTTACAGACTGCTTAGGCTTTTGAATTTAACGGCTGGGCTGTATTGTGATTACTAACTGAGCAATCAAAAATGGAACAAGGCTTATGTACATTTATACAGAACAAAACCAAAAGCCTGCAGTACAAAGCACAGAACAGATATTTAACCCTTTGTTGCCACAAGCAAGCCAGCTTATTGCCACAAAACACTGTAGCATTTGCCAATAATAAATTAGTATTTTAGCATCACAAGCAGCTGAGCACAGGCAGAGATGGTGGGAGATAGCCCCTATTCTGTGCCTAATAGGCTGTCAGTTTTGTGGCACAAAATATCAGCAGATGATGCACTGACCATTTTTTTCCCATAAATGAATGAGGATGCCCTTCAGCCTCTTGAAGTTTGAAGAATTGCTACTGAATCATCATTTTGATGGCAAATTAGGGGAAATAGCAAGTGCCTAACCCTGAAAACACTGAAGAAGAAAAAAAACACTGAAGGGAGAAGGAGATGAAAGTGAAGTTTTGGCTGTTCATGAGGAAGGGTTGGAGTTAAACCCTCCTTTAGAATCAAACCAAGCTGTACTACAATGTTTCACACAGCCCAGTAGACTTAGCTGCAAGTATAGCAGCTAAGGAAACAGTTTTACAGTAATTTCAAATTCATTAACAACATTAACATCCATAAATTCAGATTTGCATCAGAATTCTGCAGGGACTGACTTCTGTTGATAGCATACAAGATTAGTCCCAACCTCTAAAACTAAGCRTGGAAGGAGTCTCGGAGGAGCTATGGAAAAGAGCTTTTCCCTGGGAAATGACAGAAGATGCTAGTTATGGCTATACACTCTGCTCCACAAAAGAAACAGCAGGACTGGCAGGATCCATGTTTTTGTGTCCATTTTAGCATATAGTGGGGTGACTTTTGCTGTATAAAAAGAAGGCAAATTGAAATGTACTCAATAGTTAAGGTCTAATAATGAATTCTGGCTTTCAGGACGTGCTATCTTTCAAATTGTTGATCCTTCTCCTTTGAAGTATGGTGCTTTCATTTTGTTTGTGCACATGGGCACAAGAGAGAAAAAAAAAAGCTGTTAGTTTCTATACCTTGGCATTTTAAAAGACTCATTCTACCATCAAAGCTTGTTTCMACTATTATATTGGCTTTGTGTCACAAACCTCCAAGTACAAGGTTATGCTGTAGCTTGGGGGGCACATGAAGAGAAAATTCTCAATGTATAGCCATGTAATACGCTTGTTCAAAGGAAGGCATGGTACCTATGTAAGCTTATTAGTTAGACAGAATGGAGGAACAAAACCAAGTAATGAAGTTTTCATTATTTTTAGATAGTCAACTTCTAATAACTTGCAACTCAGCAGGTTTTGTTTTTCTTAGGAATAAACATTAGGATATGTATTTTTTTTGCAGGTAGTAATATAAATATTCCTATACTTTTAAATACTGTGAAGTAAGGCAGTCATAATTTCCATATTGCCAAAACAGACCTATTGTTCGAGTATGAAAAACAAAAAGGATGTGGCATAGATCTTGTTCTGAAACATAAGCTTTTCAAAAAATAAAGAGCTWGATGAAGGGGGTGACCTGGGTGTATGAAGTAGCCTTATTTTTGTTAAGCTACAATCCAGATCATGGAGTTCTTATTCAGGAACTGTACTTGCAAGATTTGTTCTCCTGTTTCAGTACCTTTATTGTGAGTAGCTCGATCGTGACTGCCTCTAATTATGCCTCTACATCCTAATTTTTTTCAGAGCTTTTGGGACAATACCGTAAGTATATAACAGGAAGGAAGTCAGGTTTTTGTTTTTGCTGCGTGCATGCCAGCACACGGCTAATAAAAAGGAAGAGGAAATGAGTAACACATGTAAATGGGGAAGTTTTCCTATAAACTGCAGAAAGAGACTCCGATGTGCATATAACTTTGGCTGTGAATGTGGTGCTGAAAGTGCAGCCAAAGTTATTTCCATGGCTTCTGTAGGTTTTATCATGTAGGCAAAGAGAGATCCCTTTTTGTTGCTTTCTATCTCAATATAGCTCTACGGCCTCTGTTACCTCACCTCTGCATGCCTAGTTCTGAGGGCAACCCTATTTTATGACTAGAGAAAGGAGGCTAGTTCAGATCTAGCACTTCGCTGTCCAGTTCTCAGAAGGATTCTAAATTCATAAAGAAATAGAAGTGTTTTTTTCCACGTGCTAGGTGCACCTACACATTTTATGTACTCATATGTTACATGTTATGATTTATTTGTTCATTGAACTCAGCAATCTCAAGTAATCCTATAGAAGTTTTTTTTAATTGCTATGCAAGTGATATTCCACTAATTTCCACGGGTGTCACAGCCTGCTGAAAACCAGTGCGTTCACTATCAACAATGATGTGAATCCTCATTTTGCTCTCCCTCTAACAGTCCTTTCAAAACATGTTATACCCTACTTCAAATGTAGGAGATAAACCTACATACTCAGAAGTTCTCTACAGAGGGACATTCAGGAATATGGAATTAATTCAAATTGATAATAAAAGATGTGATTTTAAATGAAGTTAGCAATGCTCTTCATAAGCATTGTGTAATACTATTTTAACTCTGAGTTCAATTTGATTAATTTAACCTACTTTGAAAGTAAATCAATCTATAATACAATGGCTTTGTGTCTATATATTTCTAGACTTCATTCAGATTATTTTCTTGATGGTGTCCTGCAGAAGAACCCTACCAGAAGCAGGGTAATGCAGCTGAGAACTACCCACTTCTCATGTTTTGCCACTTGACCCTTCATGTAGTAACTGGCTTGGGGCTTAACGTGTGTGATCTGAGAGGCACTACTCCACCTGGGATGTGCTGCTAAACAGATTCTGTCTTGCAGGTGGTTCAGGAAGTCCAGAGGAAAGGACTGTTAAGACGACCAGTAGATTTGATCTTAGCTGCATACCTCATTCTAGCCGCAGGGTTCTGTATATTTAGGGGCATGGTAAGTTCAAAGTATTTTAATATTTGGCCTTTAATTTTCCCTTAAATTCCCTCCCCACAAAAAGAAAAGTCTTAGTGCCTGCATGAAAAAAGTATGTATGTTTCAGTCAAGGGAAATTCTTTGATTTTCCTGGTTGGAGTAAGCCCTAGGCATATAAAGGACAAATGRGTTACTTATGATTACTGTTGCTTTGCTTCCCCATCTTTCTATGTAAATTATATTTTTTCAGAAGAATATATGTACACAGTAATAAGAGTAAATAGCATCCCAAGTATAGTTCAATATGACCCAAAATGGTTTTTTTTGTTGGTTTAGTATTTTCTTGCACAAGAACATGGAGGCAATCCAACTAAATTAAACCTGTATTCATCTCTTTCTAAACAGAGAGCCAAACTCACAGGAAACCAAGCCAAATTAATTTACACTCTCCCAGATTTAAAAAAGAAAAAGAAAGTTTTTCAGGTGCAAATATCCTGCTTTATCTAAGTTACCAGAATTTATACTGATGTTGTTTCTACTTATCAAGAGCTGATTTTTTAAATCTTCAAGCATAACTGATGATAGATTAAAAATTTTAAGGGAATGAAATAGTATTGAAAATGCTTCTTAAAGTAGGTAAATCCAAAAATAGGCAAACCTAATCTTTTGTTAGATTTAATGCATTGACTGCCTGAAGTCAAACAGAGACTGCATAACATTAGTGCACAGTCTTCAAATGTTTAGGCACCTTAGACAACTATCTGCCTGCTCGAGAATAATTCAAGTACCAGCTATCCATAGGAATGTTGTTTACCCAGTGCAGATGGTCCTTTTGTGGATCTGCTGCTCACACTGCTTCTTTTTCTCTGAGAACTTGTCTCAAAAGTATTTCCTATTTTCTTGCTTCTAACTTTTTTTAGACTCCTTCATTTCTTACAGCTCATGATGCCCCAGAGCAGCACTGCTGCAGGTTAAGCATCTATTTTGTTGCATCTTTTGTTGCAGGAAGGGTGCAACATGCTCTGCCATCTAACTTAATCCTGCAGTCTCACTTCCTTATTTCTCTCATTAATTTTCGTGTTGTATTTTTGGGGAGGATGTGGTCATTTCCTTACATCTTTCCTCTATCAAAGCAGGTACTGCTTCACTGGCCTTATTCCTGCCTACAGAGATGACCTGAACATCTCTGTGTAAGCTGTAATAACCAGGACTTTGTGAAGCAGTTAGTCAATAGAAATCCATGAAAAGCAGACCCAGACCTCTTTTTTTAGATGCCTATGGCAGAAAAGAAAAAGGAGAAATACCCATTGTTTGTAAATCTTTGTATTTTTCTTCAAAGCCACAACAAAYACACATGAAATTAAGTTGTGCAAAACATACTGTTCAGCCTTATTGCAAACTTGGGCATTAATAATGCCCTGCTAGACACATTWACAGTGACAGCTATTGACACAGATTGCCAGCTCATGTTAGAACAGTATTTTTGTAGTAAGATTAAGGGCTGCTATGCAATGCTAYTACACTCATGGAGGAACTGGGTGCTTATTGGTAATTCTTCATGCTTATTGGTAACTGTTCTCTGTGCAAGAGTGTAATATCCAGTAATCTGCCATTGCCACCACCTTTAAACCCACYAGTGAACCTTAAATCTTCATTGCTCTCCACTACTGCTTTGCTGTAGTGCAACTCTGGAACTACACACGTAGCTTGGTGTCCTGCAAATGATGCATAGCCTGAAGTTTCCACTGCAGAGCAGTTTTCCATTGGAAACCCTGCTTGTCAGGGTCAAAGCCAGGTTGTGAGAACAAACCAATAATGATYATAATTCTACTACGACAAGCGACTATTCTCTTGCAGTGCAAATCTTTCAAGGAGGCCGTGAGCATTTCCTTGCAAGCCCTTTGGGCAGGCACCGAGGGCAGGTTGTGTTCCAGCCTTCACTGGTGAGCAAATGGGCCACCTTTCCAGCAGATCTGGAGCGAGCCTCTGGCTGTGGTACTGCAGGCAGTTACTGGATCTTTAGGACTAGTAACAGGTGGTATTGGGTTACCTTGTTTTAGAAGAAATTCCTTGTTCACAGGAAGTTTTAAAAATTCTTCCCAGATTGCTCTGGATTGCCCCGCTGAACTCTGCCGGCTATACATCCAGCTTCACGAGCCRTATATAAAAGATCCTGCTGCCTACCCTAAGCTTCAGGTAAAGCACCGACTGTGCAGCACAGTCTCATAAAGTGTTTTCTTAACTGGCACAAGGATGAAACCATGGGGTTTTACACATGACACAACCAATGAGTGAAGTATTTGTTCACAGCAAGTTAAATTGTATTTCACCTATTCTACTAAACAACCATTACAGGGTACTAGCTGTTCACTGTGATAAACCCAACTTGGATCCAAATCAGCTACCTAGAATTATACATCTTAAGTGTTCAGGCCTTTTTTAATATATTCCATTAAATTCTCTTTTTTTTTTTTTTTTTCATAATTGTTACCCTTCTTCAGAAGGACAAAGCAGACTTTCAGTCTAGAGTAATGAAGCAGAGAGAGGTGTAATAGGACTAGATTCCTTAAGCTCACTTTCTACCTCTGTCTCCAGTGACACACTTTCGCAAAACCTGCTTACACAAGCATTACGGAGGAAGGAATGATTTGATTGAAGTTTCTTAGTATTTGCAAGGTTACCATTTTTTGGAAGCTTTGCTGCTGCACAGGGGCAATGCCTGAAATGGCTACAGAATTCACTAGGGAGCCAGAGTGCAGATCCCAGAAAGCTCTGGTGTGCTTGGTGGGGATGGGGGTGGCTTGGGTGAACCTCACTCCAGAGCTGGAAGTGCTTTGGAGCTTGGGAAAGGGACACATGGATTATGTTGGCACAGGGAGTTAGGTCAAGTCAGATTTAGTGGCATGGCCTGAGAGACAGGGGTAGGAGAGGGCAGGACATGTTCTAGGATGAGGGGGATTTGGGTGGGACAAAAGGACAGACATCAGTATCAGCTGAAGCCATAGGGGAGCTGGATCCAGTTAAGGGCATTCAGGTGCAAAACTCTTTTCTTGGGAGAGTTGTAGCTGAAAAAAAAACTGGGAATCATTACTCCAAAGGGAGTAGTTTCAAATAGACTCAGTTCCTCAGTCAGCAGCAAGATTTTAAATGCAAAGCAACTAATGTTTCTGTTTGAAATGCAGATGCTGGCGTATATGTTCTACTCTGTGCCATATTATGTGATTGCACTATATGGCCTCCTGGTGCCTGGTTGTTCCTGGATGCCCGATTTAACCCTTATACATGCTGGAGGACTAGCACAGGTATTTCTTGAAAAGTGTTCACTCTTGAATTGCTGGTGAATACATAGAGAAACACAGAATGAAAAAGGGGCCCAGTGCTTTACCATTTTACACTGCGGTGGTGCCACTAACTCAGTTCAGTCATTATATTTGTCAAGAGCTAAGTTAAGGCAGTGGAGCATTGAGCTTATTACATATATATCTAACAGCTGCATTCTTGCTTTCATAGACAATTCTTTTCTCCTGCTGTAGTATATGTATGGGGCTCATTTAAACCTTATCAAGCACACACTCTTTAACTGAAGCCATGAGGGAAGCCTGTTTCAAAGCTTTAACAGTGGACATGTTAAAACAAAAATACTTCCATAATATATGTTGACAAACTATATAGTTTGAAAAATCTAAATGAAGAAAGTACTTACGAGTCACCTAAGAGAGACAACATCACTTGACAATCTTGGGATAGCAGTGGGAGCCTCCCAGCCTCATCATGCCACTGAGACCTGCTCATGTCCCCAAAGGCCTACCAGTGATCACGCTTTCATAGCTCAGCCTGTTTTGCATCTCTTAAATCACAGAATCACAGTTCATTACGAGTTGCTGCTGATGATTGTGAGAAGACTAAAAGGAAAAGAGTCAATGAGAACTAGTGAATTTTCTCTCCTATCATACAGATAAACATGACATTTGAGACGGTGACAAATAATTGATTTGTACTATATATAGCAGATGAAATGAGCTCTGAACATCCCGACAAAGCAGAAAAATACATATGTAATCCTGCAAATAATGACAACATAAGGACACGGCATTAAGTGTAATTTGAGTATCACTGTTAGACAAACACAGACCAGCACTTTGTTCCCCATGCCAGAGATAACAATCACAGATGCCAACTACACTCCAGTTTAACTGTGCAGGAAGGATAGGGGAGCAACAGATTTCTATTTGTGAGCAACTACCACAAAGAATGAGGTGACCTTTGAATGGCTTATATAGAATCTTGAATCACCAAAGTACCTCAGAACAGAATCTGGCAAACATATTACTGGAGAGTTTCAGATGCTCAAAAGGTACCATAGTCTTTATACAACTGTGTTTGGCCCRGATCTAATCTAAAAAAAGCACAAGCTAGCTAAAGCAGGCAGCCCAGCGCCAGAAACCTCTCTCTACTGACAGATTACTCGAGTTTCATGAATTCCCCAGGCTGTCAGGAAAGAAACTGCTCCATCAAAGATTATTTAGCACAAGGGAAAGTCAGTCAAGTCAAAATGTGCTACTAAAGCCTTGCAAAAATTAYCAAAATGCTTCAGACGCCCAGATGGGAACTTTACCAAAAGTTTCCCATAATGAACAAACATTTACCTTTTTTTTTAAAAAATGGCATTTTTTATCTTGTGTCTGTCTGATTTAAGATATGCCAATGTTTTGCTGCTGATGAAAAAATCCCCTCCTCCTTGTGGTTTGGCTTTAGGATTATGCTGACTTAGAGAGGAAAGAGCTATTGGGAATGCAAAACTAATGCTCACCCATTTCCCTTTTTATTGTTTTAAGCTGACTATAAGAATGGCATGTTGCTGCACTTCCCCAATATCCTTCTGATTAAAACACAGAAAAAAAAGTCTTTAAAAGTTGTTTAAAAGAAAAGGTGAAATACCACAAAGGCATTTCCCAGTACTCGAATGCACTACACAAAGAGCTCCAAATCAATCAAGTCATTTTCAGCTGTGGAATTTCTGACTTGTTCAATTGTAAGCAACTCAGAAAGAAAACAGAAGTGTGACCTACAAGGAACTGAGGGCTCACTTGGAGATATTTTGGTTGTTCTGGGTCACGAAACACTTTCCAGATTTGTCTATACTGTTCTCAAGTTAAAATGTTTGTAATTTGGATGAACACATATATAGCTATTGGAACATGGTTTGTTTTCTATTATAAACAAAAGCCTGAAAAAGTTAGGAAGCTAAAAATGGAAGCCAACACTCAGGATTTTAAAGTACTTTTTCCTTTATCATGAAATATGCACTTTTTGCAAATACTAGTTTCAAAATGCAATGTGATTGAACTAAACAAAGCTTTCTTCCTCCCCCCCCCAAAATTACGTACATCTCAGCTTGAGTTATTTTGTTGCTTACATTCTGACACAAACAAATTGGGGACCCTCTGTTTGGGCTTTCTGAAGCTCCAGGAACATCTCCTTAAGTTCCACAGGACAAAAATACCTGTATTTTTGATTATACAAAAAGGTTAGGGACAAAGAGTCCTACTTTCTTGAGCTATACCCACACACCAGCCTTTCCATTTCACCCTCTCCCTGCTTCCCTTCCCTGTTTCTCCTTCAACAGTGTTTTACCTAACCCTGCAATTTCTGGTGGTTCATTTCTACAGCGCAAACCTAAGCACAGGAACTTAATCCAAAGAACAGAGGTTTCTCCAGGTTGCCTCCTCCTGCTCTCAGGCTTGTAAGACCTGGGCAAATTTCCTCTGAAATCTCTTACGGTTTTTGTCTGATTCGACTAGGTTTTAGTTAGATGCAACAAGCACACATCGAGTGAAGGAAGGTTCAAAGCCTTTTTCAGGCCCTTCCCCTAACTGCAGATGTTTCCTTCATTTCAGGCTAACAAATACTGTCTAGGAATAATCTGCAGACAGAATATGGTAAAAATCTAAACCCAAACTATTTTGTACAGACAGCAAGCTAGACTGGTACCAGTCATGTGCAAATTGCAGTCAAGTCGAACAGGGCTGTGTCCAGCACCAAGTCTTTTGCGGTTGTAGAATGGCCTGATCAGCAGACTGGCCAAGGCATCAAGAGCAAAGAAAAGGCTCTTTGCCAGAGACATAAGGCTCCATTAGAGGGTTACCCCAAACAGGTTATTTGATTAATTTCTCTGCCAAGGTTTGGGGTTTTGATCCTTGAAGTTCTCCACTAAAAGAGGTTCCAATAACAACACCAAAGAACAGCTGAAACTGCTCTTGCTTACCTAATGCCARCCCATCACAGATACCTGGGTATCACATTGCAGATATCACAGTGATCTGGAGTGATAACAGCCCTTACAGCTTAAGGCTATGGATTTTCTGGGGGTCTGTCTGGTATATGAAATAAAAGCTGGACTGGGCTACCAGGGAATGATTTAATACATGTTTCTACCCTGAATAAAAAAGAAATGTCAGGAGCCAAGTTCATGGGAAGGAAGTGAGGAAGCACATGGGATTAGAGACATAGAACAGTTTCCATACAGGTTAAATCAAGCTAAAAAATAAAAATAAAATAGAATGGTTACTTGAAAAGCAAGGTGCTATACTGACAAACAAATCTAATAAACAGCAATATCTCCACATAGTGCATTAACCAGTAAAACTCTTTGGACCATAAACAACAAAAACTTAACAGTCAAGTGTGTCTGGCTTTCATAGTGCTAGAAGCTCACTAATGCCCCATGGTTCTTGCTCAAAAAAAGAAAAAAAGAAAAAAAGAAAAAAAAAAAAGGCCCAGAAAGTAAAGCCATCCAGGAGGCTTGGGGAATTGCAGCTCTGAGACAGAGAAGCTTTTCACAGAAGCACCATCACCTACAGCACTTACCCACAGGGCTGGTGACTGTACCCAGAGCCAGCTGGGCCCTGTAACCCAGCTACGTATTTCCCACTATATGAAGTACCCCACTCACCCCAGAAGAGCCCAAAGGTCCTACAGAGGGGCTGTTAAAGCCTCATAAACATTCGGTAGCCCCAGACCTCCTAAGCCCAACGGGGGCTATGTAGCTCCTTGGGAAAGCATTACCTCCGATCCTGCAGGCTGCCCGCTCCGAGGTAGCTCCCGAGCTGAGGGATGTGGCAGGTATCTGAGCAAACCACAAGGAACCTGGGGCTCCAAACCAGGTGAGAGCAAACAGGCTGCAAGGGATGAACTGACTTAGTAGGTTAATACAAAAATGCTGCTGATAAGGTGCCCCTAAGCATCTGTTTGCTGAGTAATGCCTATTTACAGAAACATGCTAAGCAGCACTCTGCTGAAGTGTGTTTGTATTTGATTTCTCTGATTACTTGTTTGGTAACTCAGGTTTGCTAGCTCAGATCTCCCTTTTAAGTGGAAGTGGTCAGACCTCCTAAAGACCAATTTCCTTTTCTGTTTCAATGTCTGGTGTCAGCCTCACCACTTGCTGGAGAGGTGCGTGTTAGAACACCTGCACTGTATTTCACTTACCACTTTACAAACTGAATTGTGTTCTTTGTGAGTCCTAAATGACTCCTGCCGAAGCCAGACACCAAACAGGAGTTTGTTGTTCTCCATACTGTACTCCACTGCATTGCTAAAATCCTGGTGTCCCTTTTTCCTGCTCTGCTTCAGGTCAAATTCATACTTATCCTCAGAGTTCCCCATTCACTGCAAACTAAAATTGGACACACGATAGTTAATGGGAACAAGCTGTAGCTTGAAATAGTAGGTAACAGATGGAGACAAAAGACAGCGACTATTCTGACACTTCTATCTTTAAATGTTTGTTTACGCTAAAACTATGCTCCAGCTCAGCAAGCTTCTCTTGGCATATAATCCTCAATGTAAACTCCAGAGCTGCCCGCTCCCAGCCCAAAGGGCACATGCTGCAGACGTTTTCCAAAACCATCAAGAGTTCTGGGATTAGTATCTGCAAGACTGAGTTGAAGATTTTCCTTTCTTTAAATGTAACTTCCAAGTTTTTATTTCCTAGCTTTATTTTGAGCGAGTGCCCAGCTCAACGCAGGGGGTGCGAGCGCTGCCGCGCAGTGCCCCATGCACTTCCCTGCAGGAACAGGGACCCCGTCGCATGAATTGTCACCCCTTAGCCATGGGCTAAATCCTACTCACAGTGTTACCCCAAGCTACGAATGACTGTAGTTCAGACTGTATTTTTATACTGCTGTGCAAAAGTACAATAGATAATGGAGAAATAAAAGGGTTGGCTTGGAAAATGTCACCGGGAATGCATACTTGCATGCGGATTATGCTGTCTTTCCAAAATATACATCAATTTTACCCTTTTTTAATATATATGTTATAGGCTCAGTTTTCCCATATTGGTGCTTCTCTTCATGCTCGAACTCCTTACATCTACAGAGTCCCTGAAGAGGCAAAACAGTTTTTTCTGATTTTGAACATAATGTACGGGATTCTTCCCCAGCTGTTGGCTTACAGGTGTGTCAACAAGCCAGAGTTTTTTATGAAAACCAAAGAAGAAGAAAAAACAGAATAGTGCCACTGCTTTCACTTCCTCTTTTTGGCTATGTAAATAATTGGCTTCGGATGTAACCGAACTGCTCAACCGGAACCCAAATGAAGTGTGTAATATGTGTAAAATTGCAGAGTTTGTTTTGTTTATGCTACTCAAAAAAAGGGAAATAAAGACAACTGCCTTCAATATCAGTTCTGAACATTTTGATTTTACATTGCAGTAAATAATAGTTCATACATCTATTGAGGTGTTTTGACACTTTTAGAAATATTGCATGGAGTTAAATAATATCAGTATTTTGCTTCCATACACTGAAGTATATCAGTGTTAGGAACTCATGTATAAAAGCTACTGTATAATTTTAAGATCAGTGCTTCTGAAGTGTCAAAAATTAACATACATAATTCTGTCACGTGCACATGTTTTATTTGCCAAAAAGAATGCCTTGTGGGTCAGCCTTGTTAAAAACCCAAGAAATTTTAAGATGCAGTCAACTCTGATGGTAGGATTCCATATATGGTAAACGAATCATATAGTTTTGTTACTACTTTTAGGGATTCAATTCTGCGAGGACTAGTCGTCTGCTTAAGTTTAAGCCTGTGCTTATCAGCATTTCTGCACTGGGCCTGTGCTCAGCACCTTGCACACCAGGCTGCACCACCGGCACCCACTTCAGAGAGGAGGGGGTTTTACTCTTTCTCTATGCAGCTACTTGTGCTATGACCTTAGGTCATAAGCAAGCAGCTGCACACAGAGAGACCTCAGTTTCATGTGGTTTGTGTTTCCGTTTGCAATTAGAACTATTTCTCTGTCTTTTGTGTGTGTTTGTACTAAAAACAGTACATTTAGTGCCTTTCTCACAGATGAAATTAGCTGATAGCTGTTAGCCGGAAACACTTTATTTTGGGGTGTTTAATTTTGGATGCTTTGATTTAGAGAATTCAGATGTTCTTTTTAACCTGATCAGTAGCAGGCTCCAGCTCATGCACTGTGTGCTGCCCCTGCGCAGGGACGTGCCGCACTCTCCGGCTGGGCACTGAGGTGTTGCTCACATCAGTGCCCAGAAGAGAGGGGCCCCAGGTTCACACCTGAAGCCAGAGCAGCGGGTCCCACGTGCCCACAGCATCTCCCAGGGCACGTTTCTTGGCAAAAAGGAGTTGATGCCAACAGCTCCTCCAGCACCCACCTCCCTGGGGTGGGCTCCCTCCGAACGTGCCAGGACTCGGCACCGCTCCATCCCCAAATGCCTCCCAGGATGGCAAACGCAGAGCTGCTTGGCATGCTGTCTCCCAAACAGGTATCTGAGCCTCTGATGTTACTTCTAATGTTTTTGAAGAAACTTTGAATACATTCAAGGTGAATTTAATAACCTCCTGTTATCCAGAAAAGGCAAAGTACAGAAAAAAATAAAGATCTCACCTGCACTTGTATCTATTATGGTCAACTCATGTTAACAGAATGTTTTGCTTTAATACTTGACTTACATTAATACCTCACATTATTACACGTATGAAGCCAAATATGACGCTAACTTAGTTGCTTACAACCTCAAACCTTACTCCCAATACACATTCCAATAAATTTATTCTGTAAAAACAATACATTTTTTTGTTTTCGTTTTGTTTTCTTTTTTGTTTTTTTGTTGCGTTTTTTAAAGTTTTTTACAGTAAACTCGTCAACTACAAACCTTGAATACGCAAAAGATGTTTCAAGGACAAGCATAACAAGGATTGATAAAACCAGACTAAATATGTTTTCACAATAAAAGCTGGCATAAAAATAAATAAAAATCTCTATTATCACAATAGCAACAATAATGTACACAGAATAATGGTTTTGGAATGCTTACTTACTAGTCTAGTTCTATTTCCAAAAGGAAAAAAAAAAAGCCAGAATGACAGCATCCTTTTTAAGCCTTTCATTATTTAGAATTGATGTTTTCTTTTGATTTCCCATAGGGTTCTATATCACAATAAGCTTAAAAATGGAAAGCATCCAAATGAATGATCTCAAATTGTGTTGGCATTGGAAAAAATCCTTGTATTAATCTAAAGAAACACAAAAGACTTTCACTAACTCCACATATAGGAACTAAGTCAGGTAGTGTACATTACATCATGATTTTGAGAAGTATTAAGAGTATAACTAGCTAGGTACTTCTAATAAGGAAAGGTATTTTATTACATTATTGAACTTTGCAATGATCTCAACTGAAGAGTTTTTTTCTTTCATGTCATAAACTGATTAAAAAATAAGAAAGAATGGATATAGGGCAATTTAAGTTATGTTTGTGGGTGGAAAATATTCTTGTAGTATTGCATGTAGGGCGATTTGCTTCTATGATTTATCTATCTTTTAAAAAATGGTCATTTAGAATGATTTAATTTGGAGTTATACCTTTTCTATTTAGAAAAGGAATCTAAAACATGTTCAAGTATGCAATATCTTCATAAACCTCAGCCACTGGTAAAGGGCAACTTCATGCAACCAAATAATATGAAAATCAAAAATAACCCTTAGAAAAAAGGGTAAAATGTCATTTCTGCAAACACAACAGATAGGAATGTGAATAATGTGCATACAAACTGGGATGCTGCTGATGATACTAATGAACAGATGTGGTGACTCATATCAAATCCAAGAATATTAGACAACCAAACATGTAACCTTCTTGCGTTTTCCCTTAATAGTCAGCAGTCATTATGTTGGTTAAGTCTGAAAAAGAGAGAGAGAAAAAAGAGAGGCACATGTAATGTAAGCAAAACCACGCTGCAGCAAACTCCCTACACTTCAAAGTCCCAAGTACAGCAACTACGTGGTCTGTTTAGGCAGATATTATTTTTCTAAAGAATAATGCTTATGTTACATCAACTAAACATATCACTACAAAATATTGAGAACAGATTTTAAAAGTAAACAATCAGGGCTTCTTCAAATAAGCAGCTTCAGTCATGCATGTGTCTTGGTTTTTGTTTTCCCCAATCGTTTAATTATGACTCTGGTGGTATACTTCAAACACAGCCAAATCCTGATTTTTTGCTTTATCACCACTGATAAGCTCAATGTGAGAGGTTAGGAGGTCACTGCTGTGTGTGTGAACATCTTGCGAGAAGGTTGTTGGGTTCAAGCAAGGGAACACTTACTAAGCATGGAAACAGACACGGGGTGTTCACAGCACACATATCTGCAGGCCATGGTTTGGCTTGGCCTTCTCCGCAAGGTGAGGACAGAAGGGGAAGAAACTTCCACTCTGTGACCAATTCAAGGTCAGCTCTTGCTTCCATGGACATTAATGGGAACAGGATCAGACTGTCATGTCAACGGCCTCCAAGTCTCATCGTCTTCACATTAAACAGAGATAGCAATGCTCATAGCCATAGGGGTACATTATTTTTGTCCAGCAATATGAAGACCTGGATTGCTACACAACCATCTGGCTCTGGGCAAGACTTCCCTTCTCCTGTGTAACAACCAGGGAGTGTGAATGCTCATCCACCTACACCCTGACAGCCGGAAAGAAACACAACATGCGGCCAGGATTAAGGAGTTAATGTATTTGGTGGGATCAACCAGAGGAAAAAAAAAAAAACACCAAGGAATGAGAGAGAGGGTACAGGGTCAATCCACTGGGAATGATGGGACTGTCATCTAAGGAAGGATCTGGCAGAGAATATGAAAGAGCTGTTTCAAAATCCCTGCGCAAGGGTTTCCTGGCTCGGCTGTCTCCCCGCGGGGTCAGCGGACGGACCACGCGAGGCGCCGCGGCCCGCGGGACGATGCAGCGGTGCCCACACAGGGCTCGCTCGGCGCTGCCCTCCACCCCGTCACGAGGCTCCGCACGGCGCGGGATGGAAACGCTGCCCTTCCGCGTGGGAGCTCCTGCGGATCCTGCCTGGCGACACTTGAGACGGGGCCACTGTAAGGAGCGGCCTGGAGGTCGTTGCCCTGCGGCCTCAGGCTTTCCTGTGGTGCCTCGCTCGGGCACCCACCACTGCCCTCGCTGCTCCCCCAGGGGTGCTGAGGCTGTGGAGATGTGGCTTGGAGGTGCTCAGTGCCACTGCCCTTCAGAAGAAGGTGCAGGCACCCATTAAAATAATTCCAGAACAATTAGTCAATCAACCCATAAGCCTTCGGCTCAAGTCGTTAATGACAGCTGCTGCCTGCACTGGGGGCTGAAGCACTCTGTCCCTAGAGCCTCCCGCTCAGATCCATGAGGGAAAAGTGTCCTTCCCAAGGGCTACCGCTTTGCTGGATTACCCCCGTACCTCGTGCTCAGGGACCTGCGCAGGCACCGTTCCCACGTGGCTGCCGGGATCATGAGTAATTCCACTCTGGTGCCTCCCAAAGAGCTCCATGGGGCACAGGCTGTGAGGAGCGGAGCGCCCGGCGCCTCCTCCCTCACCACACACGTTCTGCCTCACAGCGGCCACGTGCGCAGAAGGCAGCAGCTCTTCCCAGGTCTCAGAGGCTGCTGAGCCGGGATGCGGCCGAGCCGCTTCCGTGGGCTCCACAGGTTTGTGTCTCCTCAGAAACACAGTAACTCAGTGCCTTTCTTCTAAACAAGTCAAGTCAGCTTTACAGCAAAATGCGCTGCAGCGTGTGCCATGCTGCCCAAGTGCGTACACRGCAGCCGCAGCAGCACAGGAGCTGGCCCACGGAAGGGAAAAACCTCAGTCACCAGTACATGAAGCTACCAGAACAGGAAAGGACACAGAGAGCTGGGAATAACTCCTCGCTGTGCCCCTCAAACTGCCTTGTTTTTTCTGGCACTGAAAATTCTGTCCCCAGAAGGGCCCAGCAAGTGCCTAAGCCATCCTGCACTTTGACTCCTGTTGCAAGGCAGAAGGATAATTATTTACTTGCTCTGTACTCCGGTTATTCAGTGTTGGTTTGAAGTCGCACTGGTTACAGGTTTCAGTGCAGAGGGAGATGCAAAGGGTGTATTTGATTTACACCAGCTGCTTTCATCTCGACTTGTATTCAGACGTTTTATGAAGTTATGTCCCACTGCCTTATGTAGGAGTGCTGTTCTCCTGAGCCATATGAAGCCAGCATGCAATACACCTCCTTACATTTGTGGGCATGCTGCAATAGAGAGTATGTTCCTATTTGATTTTTAGCATTGAAATTTAGGGTATGCAATAGCTAAATACAAATGTTTACCTTATTTGGAAAATATATTTTAACTTACTCCAAATTCCTTGGAAAAAATTCAGAGAAATATATATTCCATTTTACTTTTCTGGCCAACTGCCGCAATATGCTTTCACATCGAACAGAGCCCTAAATGCTGTTTTTAATACTAATATAAGCCCAAACCTGCTAAGCAGTTTAACCAGTGCTATTGCTGAGAAGAAGGCAGAACAAGAGCTCCAAGCACCTCCCAGCTGCAGCAGGGGAACACAGGGAATCTTTATTTCTCTGGCACTGGCAGTGCAGAGAACATTTTAGTCATTGCAGATGGGAGCAGGGTCTTTCTCTCATAGCAGTCCTGGAATTGTTGCTACCCCACCAGAACATCACAA